GAGAGGATTAGGGAAAGAAAGAAGAGACCCTGGCATGGAGTGAACAACTTCTGTGAAGATGTCCCCACCCCAGACTCAGGTTACAATGCCAGGTGAATACAGTCCCTGAAGCCAAGGACTGCCACCACCTGAACCTCAGGCATCCACAACCTAGAGCATCGTGTCCCTGTGGCATGCAGCTGAGTTGTTCTGTAGATGTCCTTTGGGGTTCTCAGCTCTCTCTCTCTCTCTCCATTCTTTACCACCACTGCCCACAGCCCACTGGGCCCTTGCAGGGTTCCATTAACCCCCCAGGTTCTGGTTTTCCCAGCTCATCTGAAATCCAAAGTCAAGGTCTTGGAGAATGAAGGCCAGGGGTAGGGAGGGGGTGGCAGGGGGTCTTGCTGTCTTGACTGTCACGTGGCTGTATCAGGTCTGCAATGGGTTTGCTCTGACTTCCTCACCCACACTGGAGACTGTGCAGCACACACAGGGAAGTCTTGTGCCTATATGGAGAACCCTGCCCTTTTCTGTCTGAGTCAGTCAAAGCTGATCCCCTACTGCCCCCACTCCAGAGGCTCAGACTGATCTGCCTTCCATTTTTCTGGAAGAGTGTCCACATACTGGAATCCCACTCAAAACATGAGTCACCTTGTGTAAAATGTAGTGGGCATCGGAACATGCTCCAGAAAGGTTCCCACCATGTCTCCCACTTCAGAAGACAAGTCCCTGGGTGTCCCTGGGTGTCCCTGGGTGTCCCTGGGTGTCCCTGGGTGTCCCTGGGTGTCCCTGGGTGTCCCTGGGTGTCCCTGGGTGTCCCTGGGTGTCCCTGGGTGTCCCTGGGTGTCCCTGGGTGTCCCTGGGTGTCCCTGGGTGTCCCTGGGTGTCCCTGGGTGTCCCTGGGTGTCCCTGGGTGTCCCTGGGTGTCCCTGGGTGTCCCTGGGTGTCCCTGGGTGTCCCTGGGTGTCCCTGGGTGTCCCTGGGTGTCCCTGGGTGTCCCTGGGTGTCCCTGGGTGTCCCTGGGTGTCCCTGGGCTGCAGCACCCATGAGGGCATTCCCAAGTAAGGCTCAGAGTGAGATGGTCTCCTTCTCATTCACCGAAGGCTTCTCATTCAATGATGACATCTTGGTGAAGCTCCTGTGACTGGGGTAAGAAGAGGGCCCTGTGTCCTCACTCAGAGCATTGACCAAGCGGGAGAAAAGAGCCACCTTGAATTTCTTGAAGTCATGGCCCATGAAGACATATAAAATGGGATTCATGCAGCTATTGGCGATGGCAATGGCAGTGGCCAGAGGCAATCCCAGGCTGAAGACAGAGCCCGGCACAGCCATGTGGTGGAGCTCCAGCAGGTAGAGTGTGTGGTAGGGGCACCAGCACAGAAAGAAGGTGACGATGATGGTGATGATGATCTTGAAAGGCTTCTTGGTCTTGGCCAGTCGGTTGCGCTGCAGCTTGAAGACGATGGTGAGGTAACAGGCAGTGATGATAATGACAGGGATCAGGAAGCCACAAAGGAAGCGGGTGATGGTGACCACCATGTGTCTACTGAACCCTACAGGATCCCCTCTCGAGTGAGTGGAGTGTAGCAAGGACTCAGCGGCAGACAAGCTGAAGTTGTTGAAGCAGGTTATTTTCCCATTGGCATCGTTCGTGTCCCGGAAGACAAGAGATGGGGAACTCAAGAAGAAAGCCAAGACCCAGACCACCACACAGGTTATGTAGGCCAGCCGGACACTGCGGTGGTTCTGGGACCAGACAGGAAGCACCACAGAGATGCAGCGGTCAAAGCTGATGACAGTCAGCAGGAAGACGCTGGTGTACATGTTGTAACTGAGCAAAAAGCTACTGATCTTACACACGGCCTTCCCGAACACCCAGTGGTAGTCCATGGCGGCGTAGGTGATGTGGATCGGCAGAAAGATATTGAACAGGAAGTCAGCCACTGCCAGGTTGATGAACCACACGGTGTTTACTGTCCTCTTCATCTTGAATGTGGCAATGATGATCACCAGGCCATTGCCTAGGATCCCAAGGAAGCACACCAGGCTGTAGATCACCACCAGGAAGACTCGGGCCACCTTGGCCTCCAGTGGATCCACCTCCTCCAAATCCATAATGGGGTCAAAGCCATCAGGGTACTCATCGTTGTAATTGTTGGAGTAGTTGTAAGCATTGTCATACTCCATCTCTGCAAGGGAAGACAGAGTCACGGGCTAAAGTCTTCAACGGACAGGTGCTGAGGTGTTGCCTGGCAACAGTGAGACCACCCACTTTCTCCTCACCATCTGAGCAAGGTCAGGGCAGCAAGCCAAGCATCTCCCCTTTGCCTTCATTTCTTTGCTTTGTATGCATTTGCCTGTCATACATGCATGGGCATGTGCTCAGGTAGCTAAGTACATATGGAGGGCAGAGGGCAATGTCAGAGGAGACACCGAGCATGAAGTTCATTAGTTCATTTAGTACTGACAACCATCTCCCCAGCCCCACTCCTCCTCCCACTCCTACTACTGCTCCCCCAGTCCTCCTTCCCCTCCTCCTCTCACTTCTCCTACTCCTCCCCTAGTCCCCCTTCTACTCATCCTCCTCCTCTTCCTACTACCCTCCTCTTCCTTCCCCTCTTACCCCTCTTCCCTCTAGTCCCCCTCCTACCCCCGACTTCTCTTGAGACAAGGTATCACTATGCAGCCCTAGTTGACCTGGAACTCACTCTGTAGACCAGGCTGGCCTCAAACTAACAGGGATCCACCTGTCTCCACCCCCCAGGTGCTGGAATTAAAGGTGTGCACCGTCACACCTGGCCTACTTTATTTCTTTTACAAACATCTGTAGCCACCCTGCAAGCCCCGCACTACTATAAGGGTTAGCATATACAGATAATAACAGCTGGACCCCACAGGTCCAAGTAGCAAAGTGAGGCCAGATGGAGACCCAGCCCCAAACAAGCTGAACCTGCAGATGTGGAATGGGTTAGGAACCCTGCAGTGGTTTGAACAAGAGTGGCCCCCATAGGCTCATATGTTTGAATACTCATCCTCATTTGATGGAACTGTTCGGGAAGGATTGGGAGGTGTGGCCTTGTTGGAGCAGGTGTGTCACTGGGGTAAGGTACTCTCACTGTCTCCTGCTTGTGAGATGTGGACACTCAGCCATTATAGACCCTCTTAAACAGTGAGCCCAATTAAATGCTTTATTTTATAAGTCACCTTGGCCATGGTGTTTTATCACAGCTATATAAAAGTAACTAACACAAATCCTAACAAGGATAATAATGAAATCCTTCACCCCCACCACAGGAAAAGACAGGGTTCCTAAACCAAGTCTCACCAGCCTCCTAAGGACCCTTCGTTCATCACAGTCTATGTGTGAGGCAATTAGTCATTCAAAGACCCCTAGGGTATGGGCTATCACACCAGCTCTACGTGCAGTAGAGAAAGCAGCCTATTGCTGTGACCTTGGTTCCACTCACATGCCCAAAGCCTCAGGGGCAGCCATACTAGCATCCTCCCCCGATCCCACCCTGCTGATGGCCACTAGTCACCTTTGGAGACATGAGTCCTACCTTTGGACACCTTCACTGTTCACTGTTGCAGAACAGAACTCCAGTGTGAGTCCCCAGCCAGTTGGTCACTATGCACAACTGGAAATACCTGCAGAGGGGGGAGAAGAGGCAGTGGTAGACTCAGAGCCCAATAAAGAAGCAATGGCAACTCCAAGAGGTGGGAGTCACTCAGCCAAGTTTCCCTGATGTGAAGAGCAGAGCCCTTGAACCTAGAACCAACCGGCTCTACCTAGAACAACTACCATGCTGGTCCACACCAGTATAATGGGCTAAACATAGGTGGGCACAATGCCAATGCTACACAGACTGAGGGGAGTGGCTCCCTGGACACTCACCAACATGTAAGGGCCCAGAAAACACCAATCCACATGGCAGTGGGGGGAGAGAAGATTGAATAACTGCTCCAGAACCTGCCAGGCATGAAGGATACATCCCTTCGTATTATCTAGTCTTCCCAGTGCCTCTTCCCAGCAGGCATTGCTGTGCTTGCCTTATGAAGTATGGAAACTAGGCTGGTAAGATGACTCAGCAGGTAAAGACACTGGCTGGCCAAGTCTGACAACCAGAGTTCAGTCCCACACGTTGGGAGAGAAGTGAGTCCCCAAAATTGTCCTTTGACCTCCATCCATGAACATGGAGACATTCAAGCCCACACACATGTGCCAAATGAATAAGTAAATTTTTTTAAGCTAGAAACATGGAGAATGAAAATTGCTCTTATTTATAATCCAGTAATCCAGGCACTTAGGGAGGCTGAAGCAGTTGGAATCATGAGTGTGAAGCTAGCTTGTGCTACAAAGTAAGATTGCCCCCCCCAAAAAAAAAAAAAAACATGAAAACAGAGGCTTGGAAAGCCTTCTCTGTCACTGTGAGTTAGATAAAGTCCTTCCTGACCTGGTGACCTTGTGTGGGGACAGTGACCCTACACAATGCCAGGGCAGGCAGCCAGCTGGTCCTGCATCAGCCCCAAAGCAACCCAGTTGGGTTTTATGCAGTGTCCTGAGAGTCTGTGAACCTGGAGGTGCCAGAGGCAGGGGTTGGGTGCAGGGTTCAAACCTAACTTATGTCACCTTGCCAGCTGTGCACTTCTGGCAAATGACTTCTGTCCGAGCTTCAGGCTCCCCATCAACAAAACAGGGACATTCAGATCACAGAACATATTATTGTGTTAGAGAGTAATGGACATCAGGATACAGGGCAATTGGCTTGGCAAGGGTACACAGAAAGCCATCAATACTTAGGAGTGAAACATGACTGCCCAGCAGTTTGAACTGAAGGCTCTGATCTCCACTGTCAGGGCCCTCTGGTCTTTACAAAGGGACTCCAACCCCAGGGAGACTGCCAAGCAAAGCCTCCCCCACTTTTTTTTTCCAGCCAGCCAGTTCCCTTGCATTCAGGGATGCTCCTCTCTGGCTTGAGCTTGGCCTCTCATTATAGACAAACACATTTGTTAAAGGAAAGCCACTTGGAAAATTTCACTGGGGCTCTGAGCCCAAGGGACCCAGACGTGAGCTTGGGTGTCACCATGCTTTGTAGACTGGGAGTACATCCAAGGAATGAGGCAGTTAGAATGAAGGGGAGTGTACCACTGTGGAGGAGCACCCACCCAGAACCTGAGCACTCACCCAGCCAGCGTGTGTGGGTTCATAATCCTTAGGGCTGGAGGGGAAGGAAGGAAAAGGGGAAGGAAAGAGAAAGGCCCCATTGTTGGGGAGACTTATTGTCAATGGCAATATGAGGTGCCACTTGCAACTTTTATGTGCTGAGAGAATGGACTGAGCACTGTCTCAGTGGTCCCACTGTGTGTGTGTGTGTGTGTGTGTGTGTGTGTGTGTGTGTGTCTGTTTATATGTGTGCATGGATGTAAGCTTGCGTGTGGAGGCCACAGGTATATATCAAGTGTCAATCTCAATCTCTCTCCATCTTTTTTTTTTCTTTTTTGAGCCAGGGTCTCTCACTAAATCTGGAGTTTACTGATTCTACCCGTTTGGCTAGCCAGCAAGGAAGGCTCTTGCATCCTTCTGCCCCTGCCTTCTCAGTACAGGCATTTCAGATTGGTGCTGCTACACAGTGTTTTGTTTTGTTTTGTTTTGTTTTGTTTTGTTTTGTTTTCCCAGGGTGCTGGGATTGAACTTAAGTCCTTGTGACTGCAGACCAGCTCTTCACTGTGTGGGCCATCTCCCCTAGCAATAGCCCCACTTTAACCCTGGAGAAGCAACTGTGCGACTTGGGGAGCAGATGGGCCTGACCAAGCACACAGATGGGTGAGAAAGCCATCCAAAGCCTGAAGAACCCAGGGCTTAACTGACATGCCACAATGCCTTAATGACTGCTGCTCCATGAGTGTCCACTCTTCCTGTGCTGGGCCTCAGAGGGACCAGTGATGGGAAACAATTTCCTTAGGATCTTCCCACAGTGGACTCACAGGTATGACAGAGAGGTAGCACTGGGTCAGGGCAAGCCCCAGATATCCCAAGAAGTAAGAGGGACTGGCATTCAGCCTGGGAGCTGTCAGCTTTCTGGGACAAGTGACCTCTGAGTGGGAGTAAAGGGTGAGCACAAATGAGGATGCAAAGGCTGAGAGAGGAGGGAGAGGGCTCCACCCAGCAACCTCCATCATGGCACAAGGGACTCAGAGACACTGCTGGCCATAGGAAGATGACCCAGATGACATCATGTCTGGTTCTTAGGCTGGACTGGAAGCAGCTGGGGTCAGAGGCTGTGTCATTTTATCTCCAAAACATCCTTCTGCCCCAGGAAGAGCCACAGGAATGGCTCAGGAGGCATATATGGCCCTTTGCCAGGTCTGTCATGGTTCATTCTATTAGAAGCAGGTCGTCACTTGGTGTAGCCTTCACCTCCCTACCCCTAGTCCTCCTAACTGGGGGAGGTCCCTCTGTCTGTCCCTACATTCCCCTAGACCCCATAACTTGAGCTGCATGGATTTCCTGGGGTCCTGGACAGAGTCGGTGATCTCAATACCTCAATTGCCTTATCTGTAAAGTGGATGTGAAGGGAGGAGGGTGACAGGTCCTGCACTGTAGGAGGCTTCAAGGACTAACTCCAATGTGGAGTAGGGGCTGGCTCCCACATGCCTCTAGGATACCCAAACCCTCACATCCATTTCTGAAATAGCATATTTGCATGTAAAACCACATGCATTCTGCCAGATACTTAAGTTTCCTGGGGACTGAGTTCAATGCCTAATGTCATAGACATGCTGTGTGCATAGCCTTTGTACCACAGCAATCGGTGACAAGAAATGAGACAAAAGGCTGCATACGCTCAGAACACAAGCAATCTCAACCTAAATGGTTTCCTTTCTTTCTTTCTTTTTTCCTTTTTATATTTTGCTTTTTTCTTCTTCTTCTTGGTTTTGTTTTGTCTTTGTTTTTTTTTTTTTTTTTGAGAGACAGAATCTTATTATGTGGGTCAAGCTGTCTTCAAACTGGCAATCCTTCTGCCTCTGAGTCCTGGGATTATGGGCATATGCTACCCACATCTGGCTTCCCAAAATTCTTTTCATCTATGGCTGGTCAAATCTAGGGACGGAAAATCCATCAAAAAGGAGGGCTGGCTCTGCTGAGAACTGGCCTGGCACACTGTGTTGCTGCCCTTCCTGCCCCC